AAGAAGCCTTCAGAGCTTGCTCAACTTCCCTCTCAGAAGTTCTCTCAGATAGACGTAACTCTTGTGCTTCTAAGCTGCTTTACAATTATTCTATTATCATGGTTTCCAAATCTTTAGAATGTTCAATAAAAACAACAATGTAATCAAACTGAGGAGTAAGCAACCTCATAATCTTCTCTATGATTACCTGTTCAGACAGAGTTTCTCCACACGCCTTCATCTCGTTAGTGATCAGAATCACTCTGGAGATATATTCAGAAACTCTCTCACTGCTCTTCATGTTCAGGTTCTCATATTGCTTTCGTAGGAATTGAAGCTTCACCTTCTTTACTGATGCGTCACCACCGTAACATCTCACCAGTAAATCCCACGCCCCTTTTAACGTTATTGAGTCAGCAATCTTCTCGAACACACTTTCATCCACACACTGATGGATATAGAACAAAGCTTTCTGGTCCCTCTTCCTCATCATTCTCTCAGCAGTTCTCTGTTCTTCAATTGCATCTGCTGTAGCTGGTACATAACCATCTGTAACCAGATCTAGAACATCTTGCGCACCAAACAGTACATGCATTTGTATCATCCATATGTTCCAGTTTTTGCCATTAAAAACTAGAAGTTTGGTGTTCAAACTACTGTCTCCACTCATTTTAAACCTTGCACGGGTTTTTCAGGTCTTCAAACACACTGTTTCCCAACCCACAGAATCAGATTTTGTTCAGATTTTTTTTGTTTAAGATTTCAAAGAAAAAACAATGAACCAAAATCAAACACACAGCTCACAATCACTCGTGTTTCCCGGGAAAACAGAACCAAGTGCTCTGATACCAATTTGTTGGTGCAAGGTAATGAAAGGGGAGAAGAAGAATGAACAATGAATGATAACAAAGAGGACTACTATTGTATATCAAATAGAGGAAATGAATGAATTACAATATTGATAGCCTAGGTAGCATATTTATACTAAAATTGAAAATGCCAAAAGACCATATTAAAGATTAAACATTTAGAATTATAGACATTAACTAAATTATATTTCCAATACGAAGAATTTCTCATCCTTACACTTATGGTTTCAGCTTCAGTCTTCTCAAATCTCTCATAGAATTATCGTGCCTTCTTCGCCACATACATCTTGTCTCTTCTTCTCAAATTTCTTCTCTTTTATATTCTTTCTTTTCCACCTTCTCATTTTTATAAAAATATTCCCTCTTTCAATTTCGTTTTTATCGCACATCTTCTTCTCTAATCTCTCATCTCTTATGTTCTTTCTTTTTCATCTTTACTTATCTCTCATATCTTATATTTTTTTGTTTCATTATAATATGTTTGATATTGTTTTATGCTATTATTTTATGTTTATTATTCCACTTTTGTGTAATCTAATTTTTATATATTAAATGGAAAATTGTTATCTAAATATGATGAGTTTTGTTGTTATTTTGTAGTGTATGAATGACTAAATACAAAGTTATGTCGTCATCTACATGTGAACGTATGACTCAACAAAATATTTGTAAAAAACCGAACCAATCAAACTGAATTGATTTGATTTGATATTTTCTAAAAGTCAATCGAACCAAACCAAATCACATTTTTCTCTTGCGGTTCAAATGACTTTTAGCGTCAAAATCGCCTCAACTGCACCGCAAACACTTATATTACAATAATAAATGTCGTATTTTTCATATCATAACTATATATTAGTAACTATATTTGACAAAATTATTTGCTCCTCATAACTTATAGATTTTATGTATAATTTTATACACTCAACTCATAAATCTCTTAAGAAAATAAGATGTACTATTAAATTATTATTTTATGAAAAAAGTATTAGAGTAAGGTAATCAAAATTGTTTTTAAAAATGTGTAAGATGACCTATATTATAGAGCCTCACACATTTTTATGATTAAGTTATAGTAAAAAAGTCTCCATACATCATTTACATTTAAATGAGACATCTTAAAAAACTATCATAACTCAATTAAATATAATTTCAATTTCTTACATTAAACCTCTCAAAAATTTGAAACGACTTTCATAATTTAAAAATAATATACTTTAGACACAGAATAATATCTATGAAATGAAGCACACCGTTATAAATAAAGTTGAAACATAACTACAAATAAATAATAAACTCTTGAAAATTATTATTTTAAAGCAAATTTTAATAAATAAATAAAACTCAATAGCGTTTCTTAAAAAACTTATTAATATCATAAATCAAAGACAATTTCTACACGGTGTCAAAACTAGTAAAAAAAATACATGGGTTTGATAATTCAACCTCAAAGATTTGTGTTCTACTTTTTTATCTAGAAGTAATAAAATGTATTATTATTAAGTCTATATATTTTACAATGCTAGACTTGCACACAAGGATCTGTGGCGCAATGGTAGCGCGTCTGACTCCAGATCAGAAGGTTGCGTGTTCGATTCACGTCAGGTTCATAACAATTTTTTCCCAATCTTTTTCAATAAAACGCAGCGTTTTGTACATTTTCATTTTTCATACACTTTCTTCTTTTTTCTAAACCCTTCTTCTCCATCATTTCCCACTGCAAAACCCTAACCACCTTTTTCCACCTCCACCAATGGCGTCGCATCTCCGCCACGCACTCCGCCGCTACTCTACCATCCTCTCTCCAAACTCCTCAACTCCCCTAACCTCCAAGGAAAAAACCCGATCCGCCCTCCGTCTCCTCAAATCCGAAACCAATCCCGAAACAATCCTCGAAATCTGCCGCGCCGCATCTCTAACTCCCGAGTCTCACCTCGACCGCCTCGCACTCTCTCGCGCCGCATCCAAACTCACCGCCGCGAAACACTTCGACGCACTCCGTCAATTCATCGACGAGCTTTTTCAAACTCGGTCCGATCTTCGCAACGAACGCTTCGTCTCTCATGCTATCGTTCTCTATGGTCAAGCTAACATGATCAACCAAGCTTTAAGCACTTTCAAATTCATGCGTGAGAATCTCAACATTGTTCCAACGGTGAAATCGCTCAATGCTTTGATACTCGCTTCGCTCATTGCGAAGAATCACAAAGAGGTAACGCGAATCTACCTTGAGTTTCCGAAAATTTATTCGATTCAACCTAATGTTGATACGTATAACTTGGTTATTAAGTCTTTTGCTGAATCTGGTTCGACTAGTTCTGTTTTCTCGATTTTGGATGAAATGTTTAGGAATTCTGTTAGACCTAATGCGACGACGATTAATAACTCCATTGGTGGGTTTTATAATGAGAAGAAGTTTGAGGAAGTTGGAAAGTTGTTGAATTTGATGGAGGAAAGGTATAAGCTGTATCCGGGTCTTAGTACTTATAATGTTAGGATTCAGAGTTTGTGTAAGTTGAAGAGATCTTCTGAGGCGAAGAGTTTGTTTCAAGGGATGATTACGAGAGGGAGGAAGCCGAATTCGGTTAGTTATTCTCATTTGATTAATGGGTTTTGTAGGGAAGGGGATCTTGAAGAGGCGAAGAGGTTGTTTGCTGATATGAAGAAAAGAGGTTTTAGGGTTGATGGTGAATGTTATTTTACTATGGTTTATTTTCTGTGTGAGGGTGGGGAGTTTGAGTCTGCTTTGGAAATTGCTAAGGAGTGTATTGGGAAAGGTTGGGTTCCGAATTTTACTACGATGAAAAAGCTTGTGAATGGGCTTGTTGGTGTTTCGAAGGTTGATGATGCTAAAGAGATTATTAAGGAAATCAAGGAGAAGTTTGCTGAAAACAGTGAGCAGTGGAGTGAAATTGAAGAGGGGTTGCCTCAAGAATGATTAGTTTGTAGTTTGGTTCTGTAATTTTTTGGTAACTTTTATCAGGATCATCAGCTTAGAAATGGAATTATTTTGTTTTGCCATTTCCCTCAGCATCTTGACGTTTTGCCCAATCCATTGTTTGCGGGTGATGTGCTAAGTAAGTTTTGTATGTTTACAGTCACTTTCTTTGTCAGGGTAATAAAATGTATTGGAAATGGTTACACCGATAAATTTCTAGTTCTTCTTTCAGTTACATTATCTCAGTTGTCTTTTTTCTTGTTTAGAGGAAAATGCTAACCTACATGAGAGCTTGTGCGGACCTGTATATTTTTATTACAATTACTCAATTTTTGGTTTCCTGTTATGCCAATGATAATTGCTGCTGATATATATGGATCCTTGTCATTATAGTTCTTAATTGTATTATTGAATCCAGCAATTGAAGTGGTGTTTTGTTCTACTGAAATTGTGCATATAATTCTCTGTTTAACTTTTTTAGACAATATCTTCACTGTCTGCCGTTATACGCTCAAGATCACTTCTTTCTTGGTCAAGGTTACAGGTAGTCAGTTATAGATCTGTGTTCACTAACTCATATTTGTATATTATCTCTGCACTATAATGCAACTATATGCATTTTCATAGTAAATTGATGTATAAAGTTTTGGCTAACATCTTCAACTCGTATCATGGCATGTTCAGAAAGTCAAAATAAACCAAATCAAATAGGGTCTTGAACCAAACTTGACCTCAAAATAATCCAACTATTGCCTCACATCACGGGATTTGACGTTTTAACTTAGCTAGTTAGCATGCAACACCAAATGATTTGTTTCTTTAGGTGTAATCTGATATTGACAGTCACATAATAGGTATCAAAACCGTTCTTAAGATCTGATTGATTACCAGTAGGTGTTGCATTGGTCATTGTCAAACTTAGATTAATTGGATTGACTACCCTATTCATATCGTCATGCAGTTCAGCTCACAAGGTCAATGCATTGCTCCAACTATATGTAAATTAACCACTTAGGCTTCTTTTAACCTAATGCTTTTAGGTCCTTTTTATAATATTCTAACTAGGTGTTCTGGTTTAGATAAATATGAATGTGTATTTGCAGCCTGAAAAACCAATTCTCATATTAATATTTATCTGCTTTGCCAAAGGGAAATTTATCGGGGCTTCTAGAATGCTTATTTAGAACACATGAAAAAACATTCATTTAGAGTTTTTAGAAGTGTAATGTAGCCTGAGCCTGAGCCTGAGCCTGAGCCTGAGCCTGAGCCTGAGCCTGAGCCTGAGCCTGAGCCTGAGCCTGAGCCTGAGCCTGAGCCTGAGCCTGAGCCTGAGCCCGAGCCCGAGCCTGGAGCCTGAGCCTGAGCCTGAATTGATTCATCACGCTTCCATCAAGAAAGCAAGTGCCCTATAAACTAGATGACTATGATTTCACACTAATTACATGAACCTTTCGGCTGACGAGTTGTGTTTTACTATATATTGTGATTTGTATATTCACTTTCTACACACTACACTGACATCAGAGTAACATAACATTGAGTCGTACTCTCTCTAGTTTCAAATGGAAGTAAAAATCAAAATTTTAAAATTTATTGAATAGCTGAAAATTTTGGTTTATATTTGTGACTAAATGATTTTTCTTCTTCTTATATTTGAAGGAGTACGGGTTTTAAAATGTAATTGGTTGGTCAACCGCCAAAATCTCAACAATTTTGTTTATTTAACGTTTGAATGCTAACTTGATAAATCAATTTTTTGATTTATGCCCTGTTTGGCAAATTTATATTGGTTTCTAATTGACAAAGCCATTTTTATTCAATCAAAATAAAATAATATATAACTATTCACTTAATATTTTTTTTTATCTATTAGAAAATTTTAATTATCACAAAAGTTTATTAATTGACTGAAACATAGAAGATGATTTTTTAAGGAAAAAAAATGAAATACAAAAATGAGTCGTTTTCGGACTGTGATAGAGCATGGCCGAAAGCCTATTTTTCAAAGAAAATTTCTTAATCCACATTCTGAAAATGCCCGAGGTATTAAAATGATATTTTCTATCTTATATTTTTGCAGATTTAAACATATTGAATGATGGATTAAAAAAACTAAATTTTCCTAATAAAATCTAAAATGATTGACAAACTCTCATAAAGAAATCGTTTGGTCATCATAACCTTTAGCATCTATTCATAAATAGACTTGACAAGGTGTTACGAAAATTTTATGAAAACTATTTGTCCTGCCAAAGTTATTTTCAACAAATTTCAATAAAATTTTTAAAATAAATTACGAAAACAAATTATACATTTCATATATACACTTTAACTCCTTTATTTATGACTACAGATATAAGCCCATAACTTGGAAAGTCCACGGACATAAGTTCAAAGGTTATGGAGACACGTGCCTTTATTAAGCTTTTTTTTATAAAAAAAATGTTCGAGTAAGACCAAATAGCTCAACTAGATCGGCTCAATATGAAAAAGACCCAACCCATAATACTCAGAGTTAAAAGTTAAAATGACTGAACATAACACTTTCAGTTAAGACTGATGAACATGACTCTTATATCTTAACTCGTCTTAAACCTTCATTTCCAATCCAACGATCTTCCATAGACCGTCATTTCCAATCCAACGATCTTCCATAGTCTCCGCTGGCTACACCGCACCTACCACTTGCGGTTTTAATCGTTGACCATATATAAGTTCAATTATGTGTCATATCAGGTACAATATCTCTTGTAAATTACACATCTTTTATTTAGTCGTTAAAGTGCTAACTCTGCAGGTACATCCTTATTTCAACTATCGGAAATTTACATCGTCGTACCAGAGAGATTCTATGGCAATTTTCATCAGCACTGCACAGTGTGGGAACTGTCTTCCGATTCTTACAAATTCATCAAATCCTTTCGGTTGCGTCGCCTTAAGCATTCTTCAGATCATCACAAATCTTCTCAATCGGTAATCGCAGCTTTCAAATCAAATTGATTGGCCATTCATTGCAACACCGCTTATGTGAACAAAGTTGTCACACCAATGGTCTTCTCTACTCATGAAATTCCTCTTCCTACAGCGGGGAGAGGTTGTCCAGTTCTAGTAACATCGCCGACCACTTCATCTCCCTGACACTAATTCCTCCACCGATCAGACAGATAATTTTTCAGTTCAAGCAACTCTTCCAACCTTTTCACCAATTACTCCGAAGACCAAATTTCTAAATAACCTCAACTTCAAACACAAACACCTGAGCTAGAAATGTTCCCGGGTCTTTAACAACTTCAAGTCACACAAAGGATAAAGGGAGTGAACATACTCATAACAAACATTTCCAATCTATTGCAGGTGCAATAATTGAATGCATATCTTCTAAACGAGAGACTATTGTGTGTGGAAGAAAATCAGAAAATAGCTTTGTTGCTAGCCGCCACATAACAGGAGTAGTTACAACCTAGTAAACTTGGGACTATGCCTAACACGATTCTAGGTGAAACTACATCACATAACAAGAGGGCCTCTAGATCAGCGGGAGAGAAAAAATTTACTAGAAGACCAAATTTCTAAATAACAAGAGGACCAAATTTCTAAATAACCTCAACTTCAGAGAGGATCCATTGTTTGTGAACATTATATGCTTCAAATTTATATATATGATACCATCACTACTCAAATTTCTCTGACCCGCACATGTTTATAGTGCATTGAAGGAACGGGTCGATAAATGTAACTTTATCTTCTATCTTTTCCTTAATTAAGGTGATAATGATAACTATACTTTTATTTGGCTGCTAAAAGTACACTGTTCAAATCAACACTCCAACTAAACTTCAACTATGTCGACTTTAATACAACTGCAGATCTTTTCATATATTTTAAACCATAAGCCGCACTAGATCCCACTGTTGTTGAAGCAACTAACCAGCTGCACCAGAAAATACTTCAAATTCAACAACTTGGAAAAACATCAGCATAAGGGTAACGAAAACTCTAGATGAATTCAGCTCAGAAGAAAAAAAATGCTTAAATTACCTTAGATAAGTAATGTATAATTGAGTTTCTGGGGTTCCAAAATCGGGTTGAAGAAGAGCTGCAGCAACTAACGCTAACTGGAACACTGTATTCACCTGTCCAAATTGGTAGTACGCTTAAGAAAGTGGGATACACCATGCTTTGAAGAATAAACTAAAACACCAATAATGCCTTACCTTGCTTATAAAGAGTGGTTCAACTTTTTGGCGACCAGTCCCATCAAGGTTAAAAAAATCAAACCAGCTTTTCCACTGAGATAACCACACAGAGTCAAGGTTACATCTTCATTTCTATAAAAAAAACACGACTTGAGAACCACGTTCTAATTTCATACCTTCCAACCCAAGCTACTAGCTCTTTGATATACTGCACCACCGACAAGGAAGGCATCTCGGAATACGACAAGTCCAACAAGTCCAGCTTCAAAATCATACACCAACATAAATAATTTTGCACCACATACAAAGTAATATCTGTGTTGTAAAGTTTAGATGCTATATAATGAAACCATTATATGAATACAAATGTGATAGAAACCAACTGATATAGACAAGTAAATAGGAAATAATTTGGTTACAAAATGATAATCACAGAACTTCGAGGGTCTGCACCTCCCCAATGCCAAAATGGCCCCTTTCCAATCAACTTCCCAGATATCTTCTCTTTCAATTGCCTCCTCTATTTATAGGCAACACTCTAATTATCCTAATTAACTAATTTATATTCTAAAACTGCAGTTATGACAGTTACTGCAGTTACAATTACAGTTATCTTTTAATAAAACTGCCTATTAATAATAAAACTGCTTCCTGTTAACTAACAAGACCCTTACAATCCTGATTAAGGGCTCGTATCTAACAAGAGAATAAAATAAAAACCAATTACAAAACTACTTTACTCATATTGACATTAAAACCAAAGTGTTTGCACCATCTTGCAGCCTAATTTAGCCTCCAGGGTCCCACGGTTTGGAGGACAGATTACCAAACATTTTGGAATTATTGCAGTGGCATTTGTTGGCCTTCCTCTCAAGGATGGTGAATGTGGTGAAACTCTTTTTCGTCGTTGTGCGACAGATAGCAACACTTTTGTTTGGCAGTTTCATCAGTGGAAATACAACCAACATGCAAGAAATTTCTTTACTCTTCTCAGCCACAGACCCTTCCTCTCCACTGGTTAGATTTTTGTTCGGTGGTTCTTCCTTCATAGACAATTTTGTTTTCTTGATAATACTCTGTTGCATGCCACCAATTTTCTCTTTTCGCTCACCTTTCTTGACTTTTTCTATTAACTTTGAGCGATCCAAAACAACAAACTCATGCCCTCCTTTTTTATTAGAGTTCTCTTCTTTGTTCATTCTTTTTTGACCATGGATATTATGTTTTCTTGAAACTTTCTTTGATTCCACTTCTTCATTCTCCATTGAATCGGTGTATGGCCCAAATTGTTTGATAATTGCCTCTGTAAAATCTCTCCAAGTGGAAAATGGGTTGGCTGACACCCATAATTGGTACCATGCGATGGCTCTACCACTCATCCATTGCACAACTTTTGGTATTTGATCTTCTTCTTTACATGCACCTCCTGCATCAAAATATTTCTCAACCTTGGTCATCCATCCAACAACATCCCTTCCTTCAAAGATTGGTATTGCTAGTCGTAATTCTTTGAGTTCTCTTCTCCAATCTCTAAGTTCTTTCAACACTTCATAAAAAATACCAAACATTTCTTCCGTTCTGGATGACAATTCCATTTCGGTTCTGGTTTATTTTATTTTATTTTAAATTTTCTGTCCCGGATCAGAAGTGCTCTGATACCAGTTGATAGAAACCAACTGATATAGACAAGTAAATAGGAAATTTGGTTACAAAATGATTATCGCAGAACTTCGAGGGTCTGCACCTCCCCAATGCCAAAATGGCCCCTTTCCAATCAACTTCCCAGATATCCTCTCTTTCAATTGCCTCCTCTATTTATAGGCAACACTCTAATTATCCACTCAAAGTAATATGTGTGTTCTAAAGTTTTGATTTTTTCATTATTTGGATTTCAACGTGGTCTTTTTCTGCATCTTCAATTTCAACCTCACACTGTTTCTCTCCCATCACCAAGACTGTTTTCACTTCCAGGATTCAACAATCCAACATGTAAAGTGAAAATGATGTTCAAGGATTTTTTTTTAAACATTTGGTACAAAGTTGTAGAGAAAAAACTTGAAAACAGAACATTACATAAAAGGGATTAAAAATACACAAAAATCCCAAAACTAAAGCAGTTGTTGATGATGCTCTGTTTCAATAAACCCATATAAAAAAATCCATTGAAAAAATATAACCCAACAGAGTAGTCAATGGCGGCGCTATTCTGCTATAAGGGAGCAGAGACCGGCCACTAGGGGAAAATGTTAAGTCTTGTGCTTTGGTTTGTAAATATTTTAGGGGTTTTTGAGTTAGCTGTTTAATTTTACATTAAAGACATGTTTATAATTATTACTCATGTAATTTGTCCAAAAACTGATCAAATAGCGGTCATCCAGCTATACGGTATCCCGCTATCTCATTTTTGGGGTTGACCGCTCCGGGCCGCTATCCGGGATTGACTACTCTTAACCGAGATCAAAAGCAATTCAAAAGACGATATGAAAAAATCTACAACCCAAAAATAGAACAAACTCAAAAATAAGAAATTGAACCTATGTCTCGAAAACAGTTTAGATCGCCAAGAAAATTTGAAACCACGCAAGCTTGCAATGGATAGACACAGAAAAGACCACTGAATCTCGTGGCAGATCTATATGATGATGGCCAACATAGCATGAGACGGGGGAGATTGTATCTTGCGAAAAAGACGATAGAGCTTGCAATATAGATGTTACAGAAACAGTCACAAGAGTTTTGGACTGAAAAAACAATGGCAAATAACAGTGCATAAAACTAACTGGAACGAGCTTGTGAAGAGAGCTACAGTGTTACATATCCAAGGATGTCGCAGATAAATTCTATTTATTTATGTAGTCACTCAACTTGTTCTGCCAGTTACTAAAAAATAGGAAAAGTAAATGACGTGACAATGATTACTCGAGTATGTTAGAAGATTGTCTTAGAGAGTGTGACCCTAGCATTTCTCGAAATGCTTTCTACTTCCTTCCCTTTCAGCTACTGAACTCATTAAGCACAAACAGTATATAACTACAAAGACTATATCCAAATGTACACCAGTTCCCTTCCCTTTCAGCTGCTGAACTCATTAAACGCGAACAGTATATAACTACAAAAAATTATAGCCAAATGTACCCGCAGTTACCAGCCCCGAATATTGAAGATCTTGTGCCAGATAGAAAAGGAGTTGTACAACTTGGTTTTCACTCACACTCACACATTATAGAAAACACATACTATTTCTTCACGTTAACTAAACCATTAACAAAACACAAAGTTACCAGCTACCTGAGTCAAGCACTACTTACGATGCAGTAAATCTTGATGAACCATTGCAACAGCAACACAACCAATAAGAACCTATATCATGGATTGAAAGCAGACCATCAAACAAAACATAACCCCAATTTCTAGGTAACATTACACTGTCTTAGTAGAAGAAACTACAGTTCATTCATTCATACCTTATCAGCAAGGGGATCAAGGTAGGAACCTACTACAGAATCAATCTTCATCTTCCTAGCCACATACCCATCAAGCTACAATTACATAAACGCATAAAAAATGAAAAATTTATCCTACATTTCAGCATAGAGTGCATTAAAAAATGTAATTTTTTTCATACCCAATCAGAAGCTCCAGAGATAGCCAACCCCACCATTGCTGAAGTATACATATCATTCATTATCATCCTATAAAAATTCAATCAAATTAACACATGGAAAAAAAAAACACAAAATTTAAAATTATTCCAAGCAAAATTTCATAGTAGCTACCATCCAAGAAAAGGACCCGAAATCAATCGAGTAATAGATATGAGATTTGGCGCATTGAGGAAAGTATAGAGAAGTGTGTTTTGATGAGATTGGTTGGAGTTGGAATTGGAATCGGAATCAACATGATTGTGGAGTGGTAAAGGGGTTCTTGTTGTGATTCGAATCAAATTGAGGTTGATGGCGTTGACCTTGCTTCGAAAAACGACGGCTTTAGGGTGATGATAAAGAGGGGTTGCGGATTGAGAGAGTTTCCAGGGCGGAGAAGCGAGGAAGAGAGGGCCGTTGTGGTGAGAAGGAAGGGGGAAAAGTGCGTTGTGCAGTAATGGAGAAAAGGGAAGAGTGAGTGTTGTTGAGGTTGTTGGAATGAGGAAGGTTCGAGCTATGGTGTTTGAGTTTCTGAGTATTGATTTGAGAGACCTGAATGTCACCATTGTTGAAGCATTTCTTTCGATGGAGGAATTAGGTTTTTCTTTTCTCTGTTTTTTAATTTATTTTACTTATGTTTGAAAAAAGAGGGTTTTGTTTTGGGTTTTAGATAAACATGGTATGATGGACATGATGTTCTTTTCTTTTGTCATAATGGATTGACATGGATATTCTTGGAAATTGGGATGTAGGATTTCTTCTTAGGGAAGTTTATTGGTTCGAACAACTTCGAAATTAAAATATTTGAGTAGGATAATTTTTTAGTAGGGTAAAAATCGAATCAAATCAATAAAATTTGATACTAAATGGTTTAAACAATATATTTTAAAAAATTTAGTCGCGAATCTGTCAACCCAAATCAATTATATTATTTTATATATATATTATTATTATAGAAATTAGTACAAATTTTCTACTTAAAAAAAAACAAAATGAAACACCATTTGTGACATTCATAACCTATATAAAAAAACAAAAAACATTAAAAAAAGTATATTTTATGAAAAAATAGTTGATGTAAATTAGATATTTTTATAAAAATATTTGTGTATATTTGTTTCTAATGTATCCAATTAATCCAACTCAAATCAGCCCGTTATTTCTTGGTTTGGTTCAGTTTGGATTTTATCGAAAAAATATGAAAATTATCGATTTGGGTATCGAATTCTCTTAAAATCGAACCAAATTGACCCGCAAACATCCTTAGTTGTCACCTTGTTTTGCTAGGTGTTGGTTGCATTTGTAATGTTATGACGTCAATTATCATACATCATCTATTAAGAAAATTTGCATTTCAATTCAAAGTATAAGACACATTTATTGCATGTTTGAATGGACTTTTGAAAGACCCTGAATCAATTTTAGAGGTGTGGAATTGATTCTGGGTGATTTTAAGGTATTTCTTTAATCAAAAGTAGAATTGATTCAGTCTTCAGAATTGATTCTACTTGAAGTCAGAATTTGTAGCTTCTACTTCTAGAATTGATTCTATGTGATTTTTATACTGAAATGTATTGTCTAATTCACTTTTATATAAATTTATCCAAACATAAATCAATTATGCTAAACTCAATTATGTTAAAATCAATTATATTAAACTCAATTCTGTTAGAATCAATTTTGTTCACCGACAATCCAAACATACTAAGCCTTATGCTACATGTGGATTGATAAGAAAGCAATAGAATAGAGTTGAATATTAAATTATCTTCTAATTTTTAGATTGATAAAAAGAAGATAGAATGAAGTAGAATATAATGAAATATATTTCACCTAACTTCATTGCTTATCTTTATTTTTATTCATTTTAATTTGGATGGAATAACATTTTTACTGCTATATTTCATCATAAAATATATAAATAATGAGATAAAATATTCATTTTGTTCTGCTCCGTTCCACTCCATTTAACTTTGTTTCATGTTTGTTTTGAAATATCCAAACATAATCTTAGAGTCATAATTGCATGTCTTAAGAAAATTAAGGTGTTAGATAATTAACATGGGCGTTTGATCCCAAATTATAGTTAGGTACCTTTATAGTAGACAGGTTCAACACACCTTCTGCTTTTACTCCTAACAATGGATTGGGCTTTATTCAAGCAACATGGCACGGTATTCCAAACGAAAAATTATGGTGCTTCGTCAAAAGGAAGAACTTGAGGAGGCAAAACGAACTCACAACAATGTTGGTGGCAGTTCATACAGTCTTGGTGCCACCTTATTGGCCTCAAGATTTGTTGCAAATGCTCTCATGGTGTACATCATAATCGTATTCTAAGAGTGTCGGTAACTTGGTGAAATGACATAAACCTTCTGAGCCTGAGTTCACCGATGATATGTAATGTAACTATTCTCTTATAATACATGTTTTCATTTGTTAACTATTGAGTTTGAACTTTGGTATGCAATGTTAACCGGTGAAACTATCACACGACATTTTGGATGAGTTACGAATAGTATTGTACCACGCATCTGATTCCTTCTAAATTAAATATTAAAGCAACTAGCTGTCATGTTACGCTTATCTTTCACCACTTCATCTTCACCCTTCACAATTACTTGCACCGGTCTAAGTGTCTTTCAATTATTTCTCTTAATTTTATTACATTGCTTATTTTGTTGTTATGTAATTAGAGAGGGTGAATAGATTCTCAATTAAAAATTACCTTTTAAAAATAGTTATATAAAAACTTATTTGAAAAACTTATAAAAAATAGTTATACAAAACTACTTTTTTTATAATGTCTTACTATTATTTTTATATTTTTTATTATTTTATAATTTCTCTCTTTAATGTCAAGATACATATTCTGTTGTGTGTCACGCTTACACAAAAAAAATAATTTATTGGACTTTTGTGGAATAGGAACCATCGACAGCCATATTCTTCCCTCCGCCAATTAAATTTTTCGTCTTCCATTCCATTGCACAAAGCAACCTTCTGTTATCAAGCAATAAATTATTCCCTTTTCCAAATCCTGATTTCAAATTCTGCTCATCAATGGGAGTTTCAAGAGGCGATTTCAAATGTTGCTCATCAATGAATTATGTTTTCAAGGTAATATCATGAATCACAATTTGAATTAATGTTGTTTTTTGCGAAATCCATGTGAATTTCATGGATATAAATAGGTATTATTCATCACAAATTGTAAACACGATGGATTTCTTCTTGATAGTTGCTAGAGTTGTTATTCATGATTCACGAATTTGCATCCATCTTTTTGTGTTAGGTTTATTCATGGCTTCCCTAGGTGTCCACTTTGTTAACGAGATAACTCATGCAAAGGAGTCGTGGAACATTGTGGTTCAGGTTGTCCGATTGTGGTTCGTGTCGGACATGGATGTGAAACAGAAATATTTTGCTATGGAAATGGTTCTCATGGATGATAAGGTGATATGTTTGTTTCATTTACCGTTTAAGTTAAATTGTAATAAAATGTTTTAGACAGAGATAAACTGAATTGTAGGGTGACAAAATCCAAGCTTCTGTTAGAAAAGCCTTGTTGCCTCGATTTGAAAATAAAATTAAGGAGGGATCTTCATATAATTTCAAGTCATTTGGTGTCACTTCTAATACTGGAGCGTCTAGGACTACGAAACACCAATTTAAATTGAATTTTCATAATGGCACGATTGTCACAAATGTTAGAACTGGAATGGCGACAATATCGTCTTATATGTTTGTATCTTTTATAAATATTTTTGGCAACATAGACATGGACTACTTTATTAGTAGTATAACTTATGTTTTAGTATATTTTACATGTCTTTTCACATATTTTTATAGTTGTGCATCCAAAGTTATGATTTCTAAATTTTTTTCCAAATGTTATTGGTATTTTGTCTTCTGTTGGTCGTGAAAAAGCGTATGAAAGGGATCATGTAGCTACTAAGTTTAAGTTATTGAGTTGAAATCTAATAGGTAATATATTATATGTAAGTTATACCTTATGCTGTTATATAATACTCTAATCATTTGTCTGATTAAATTTTATTACTCCTGTAGAATTAAGCTTGAGTGCATGCTATTTGGACCGTATATTGAAGCCCTTGACGCCTTTCTGCAATCTGGATGTAATGGAAATGTTGTTGTGGTTGCTCATTATCTGAAAGTGAAATTGTATAATGGAAAGGTCCAACTTCAAAATACAATGAACTCTACCAAGCTTTTGTTCAACCCTGAAATTCCTGAGGCAGACAATTTAAAGGTCCACGATAACATTGGTTCACCTACACAACCATTTAGTTATATGAAATATTCTTCAGAGATGAGTTTAGAAGAAGAATTTTTTAACTTGTCTCAAAGGAAAACTATTAAGGAACTGGAGGATTGTCAAGATGTAATAATTTGCCATCAATTCATACAAAAATTACTTCAGCTGGATTGTCTAATTTTTATTTTGTTAGCTTAACATAAGTTTTTTTTTCATGTGTAGAATATTGTTTTTATTGTGTTAGGGACAATCAAACATGTTATTGGTGGCAACGATTGATGGTATGTTGCATGTATCCTCAACAAGGGTGTTGTTACAGACTCTAAACGTATTTTCTACACTAAGTGCAAAAAGCATGTTTGGACAATTGTGCCAAGGTATTTCATTGTATAGATTTTGTTTATACTTTGTTAATGATTATTGTTTATGTTTATTGATTATGGATTACATATATAGGTATCGTATCAAACTCGAGGTGATTTATGAAACTGATTCTGCCACATTCGTATTTTTTGATCATGATTGCTATCTACTAACAAAGAAAATGTGTACTGATTTGATTGATCAAATGGATCGTGTGAGTGTTTCATTCTTACACATATCTAATACCTATTTTAGGTTGTATTATTAGATGTTATCTAATAATTTCTGTTTGTAACATTTCATATTTTAGGCCGATGAGCTAACCATTTTGCAAATAGTTATTGGTGAATTGGTTGAACAAACTATGGTCTTTAATATTGTTGTGAATAATGATGTGAATTATGGGTTTGAACAGTCATTTTGTGTCAAGAAATTGTGTCCTTACCAAGATATCGTGGCTAAATTCAAAAATGTTGTTCGGGTATTATATATTGTTGTACATAGTTGTGTATCATTGTAGTTGAACTTTATTATAAATCTTCGTACATTGTTTATTAGTATCAATGTATGTTAAATATAGAACTCTGGTGGTGTTGAGGATAATTTGGCTGGTGGTGTTGTTCATAATGACATAGATGTTGCTATGGTTCAAGATTTGGGCAGCAAGTTTGAGAACATTACTATTGAAAATAAATGTGGAGATAATGGTTCGGCATCCAAACTTATTGAAGAAAATGTTGCAAAAAACGCCCCTGTTAAAAGGGGCATAAATGAAGTTGTTGATGAAAATGACGAAACCAACTCAAGAATTACGAAAAACATTAAGATTGAGAAGGCGTTATTGGAATGTGTCTTCTTTTAGTCTTATTTTATATCAACAGTATAGTATAAATTAACATTTAAATGTCGTGGATAATTCCTGCG